GGGAGGGGAGAGGTCGATGTGCGATGGGGGACTGGAGAGGGCGAGGGGGGAGCTTGACGGGCAAGGTAGGAAGACATTGGTGGGAGGGTAGGGAGGTACATGTGCCGAGGGGGAGGCCAGCTTGGTGTTCGAAAAAGACAGAAGAAGAAGAAGAAGAAGAAGAAGAAGAAGAAGAAGAGGGCAGGGGGGGAAAGGGGTCTCCAGGGATGGGGGGTGTTGGGAGTGGACTGGTTTTCGTAGATGCCAAATATTGGCGGTTTGCGTAGAGGCCAAATATTGGCGCCAAACTCCACCGAAGAGTCGCGGTGAATTAAAATATAAAATGACCGGGAGGGAGGAGGAGGAGGAAGAAGAAAGAGGAGAGGAGGATAGGAAGAAGAAGAAAAAGAAAAGGAGAGGAAGAAGGAGAAGAAGAAGAAGAAGAAAAAGAGGAGGAGGGAGACACACAGACACACACACTCGCCATCCTGCCACCCCTGCCTTGCTCGGAAGTTGTTCCCCCTCCCCTTCTCCTCCGCTTTGTCACACAAAGCATTGAGTTCTGCCCACTCATCTCAAACGCACCATTCCCTCCTTGTCAGCTGTCCTCACTGTGTGCAGGTTATGTCGCCAACAGCACTGCATTCCAGCTGACATCGCAGCACGTTCTCACAGCCTTTGGAATCTCACCAGAGAGCTCCGGAACTCTTCTCTGGGCCAGCATAAGGAAGTAGGCGCTAGCAAAGGGTATCTTCCACGAACCCGAGGTGAGGGTTGAGGGTGGGGGTCGGGGAGAGGTGGGGAGCGAGGAGTGGTAGGGGAAGTTGTGAACTCCCGATCGTTGAGAACGTTTGCAACAGTCACTTTTCCATGTTCAAGCGCGCTCCCATAGGGCCTCGCTGCACTACTCTCGACATGCACAAAAGATAAAAATCATGGCGGTGCATCTTTCCATATTCTAGCGGAAGATTCACTCTCGTTTTGCACATTTCGAAAGTAGTGCAGCGAGGCCCATAGAACCCTACACGAGTGGCCCCCCATGTAAGTTAAAAATAGCAGGAAGAAGAGGGATCCAAGGAGCGAGGACGAGAGATATACGAAACAGCGAGGAAAGAGATGAGCAGCAGGGAGGGGAGAGAGAGAGAGAGAGAGAGAGAGAGAGAGAGAGAGAGAGAGAGAGAGAGAGAGATGTTCCGAAGGCGAAGAAGGACGTTGGCATATGTGAAGATGGAGGAGGAGATGTGGTAATTGAGGCGTGCTGGGTTACTCCACAGGCGCTGAAGCTAACCGTGCGACGGGATCGTCGTCGGCGAAAGCGCTCTCTTGAAAGATGATGATGTGCGATGTCCCTTGCTCACTAACAGATTGGGGTGGCGGGTGTGGCTCACATGGCTCACAGCAGCAGCGCGAACTGGAATGCAAACGCGCAAGATGTGTTGCCAGGGTGAGGAGGAGGATCGAGGGATCAGCGGTCCAGGTCCTCTGCCGGTTTCCTCCGCAAACAAGGGGCGTACAGGCCCAGCTTTTTTCTTTGCTGGCGGTGGCCTCAGCCTCGAGGGGCGTACAGGCCCGGCTTTTTTCTTTGCTGGCGGTGGCCTCCGCGAGGCTGTGGGATGCCACCGAGACCATTTCAGGTGCGGTACGTCCTCCCCACCCCTCCCCCCTCCCCCCTCCCCCCTCCCCCTGAGGCCACCCGGGTGTCTGCTGGCGGGTTCAGCCGGGAGCCTCCCGGATTGAGGAGGGCCTCAACGTCCAACTGGGGACCAGCACTGGTTTCATCCTGGTACTTGGGCAGATTAGTGGCCCAGGGTTTCAACCTGTTAGCGGGTTAGGTTAGTTGCACACGGTCGCAATCTGGTAGAGGGGAGGGGCAGTGAACTTGCCTTGGTGATTTTTTTCCTCTTTCTGTTCTGCAGTTCTGCTTTTTGTGGACAGGCAGTTTAGGTCTATTGCAGGTACAGAGAGGGATAGAGAGCTGCAAGAGGCATATGGATGGGGTGTTTTTTTTTTTTGTAGATTGTTGCTATGTAACAAGGGAGGTTGCTCTACCGTCTTCACCCGACTAGAACACGCCCGGTCGTTATCGCTGCGTCTGGACCGAACGTTGTGCCAACTACAGCTATAATGACCGGGCATTCCATTCGGGTGAAGACGGTAGGCAGCTAACCCTTCTTATCTGTGAAGGTGTATATAAGAAAAACTGATATGCTGCTCATATTTTTCTCTGTCTAGAACCCCATACCCCTATAATAATAAACACAGGGATTCAAACGCTTTCAAAGAACACACAAAATAGTAGAAGATCTAGCATTCGTTCTGAGAGATAGGAACTTAGCGGGATGGAGGGAATACTTGGCGTGGTGAGAGTAGTACCTGAAATTGGAGAAATGTAGCGAATGAGAGATCTTACCAGCCATAAAAACTGGTGACGCATAAAAAGTGCGAGTTACGTTCGTTGGGCGCCTTGGTTGATAATCGGTTGAGAACAGGCAGAGAGTTGGTCGATAATTCGTTGAGAATTCGTTGAGAATTGGTTGAGAATTGGTTGAGAATTGGTTGAGAATTGGTTGAGAATTGGTTGAAATTTTGTTCCCAATAGGTTGAGAGTTGATTTGAGAATGGAAATAAAAAAAAGGGGATGGGTTCCAGAATCGCGTCAGAATTTTGGCCGAGAAAAAAAGAAAACAAAAAAAACACAGTATCAGGGGTGGTCCCCTCGGCGTACCAGCAGAAAAAGCTGCCTGCATCTTTCTTTTCACCTGGTCATCATCGCTGGGATGGGACTCATGGGAGGCGAAAAATACCGTCCTACGTAAGTCGTCGTGGTTACTTGCCGTCTGCAGGTGTTGGGCCCGGTGTTTCTGTCGGGGACGCCGTTGATACTGGCGGTGCAATTGAGAAGTTAATTCCTTTTTTGCTGCACCGAGGGATGTGCCTTCCGTTCAGCTACGACGCATAGAATAAGAGAATGGCCAGTGGTTGGCTTCTGACGCGATCGGTGTACCGAGGCATGCCCTCATGCAAAGGACGAGGAGGGAGGAGGGCACGTTTGGCTTGATGAAGATATATGGGAGACGGCTGTTGAAATTTGAACGCCATTCGTGACTTGCGATTGTTCATGTGGTCCCTTTGTGCTCGTCGACGCTCGTTCTTATGTCTGGTAGTGACTGGTGATGGTGAGCTTTGTGCTCGCTATCGCTCATGGAGCTGGTCTCCATGCACTGAATCGTTAGTAAATGGGATATCTAGTTCTTGATGTCAGTGCTCATGATGTCGGTGATCATGATGCCGGTGATGACATTTATATTTCTATTGCATCGTGTTCATCATCGTCGATGTCTTTTGGCGAGTTTCAAGATGTTTGGTTCAAAGGTCTTTGAACAGGGATGATCTTTTGTGAACATAGGGCGTTGAAGGTGTGTGTGTGCGTGTGTGTGTGTGTGTGTGTGTGTGTGTGTGTGTGTGTGTGTGTGAGAGAGAGAGAGAGAGGGGGGGGCGGGGAGGGAGGGAAGAGATCAATGAGCGTGTTTTACTCTTCCGTTTTTTTGCATCTTTTACTCTTCCAGTTCAATTGGGCTAAGTAAGGTCGCAGAGGAGGTGAGATAGAAGCACCGGAATTTCACAAAGAGGAAGGTGGATCAGGGGGCACACAACATTACACACACACACACACACACACACACACACACACACCAATGCGCACGCACACACACACACACACACACACACACACACACACACACACACACACACACACACACACACACACACACACACACACGCGCGCGCGCGAGCACACACACACACAGGAAGGTTAAGAAATGGATGTAATGGAGCTATTGTGCCCCATGTTGCTTTAATTGTTAGATTGATTTGTCTCAAGTGTGCTTCATTATGTGCAATTGCGGCAAAGCTGCTTTGATTTCGGATCTACTCATTTGGGTGGAACGGGGGCCGTTGTGGGGAAAATATACCCCTACTAAAAATTCCTCCCTTCCCGTGTACTACTAATAAATGCATGTGAATGAGCATCATCAAGAGAAAAGATAGAATACAAGCTGAACTTGCTGCTGAATGGACAAGAGTATACCCCCCCTTTTAGTCTACCTCCCCTATCATAATGTGCAAGTGCGTCGCAAAGGCACATGTGGATGTTGGCAGCTGTTGGCGCTCAACCACAATCAATTGCCACCCTTGTACGTGAGAGGCATAGGAAAAGGGGTACCCCATAGAGAAGTGAAGTAGAGGTACTTACACCACCACTACATGACTCACATCAGCCGCGCCCCCCTGTCAAGAGGCCAAAACGCAACACCAGATGCCAATTTATTTTATCAAAGGGATGCACCCGTCCCTTTTTCGGACCAGGTGATGAAACATTCTCAGCAAGGCGGGGGCAAGGTTGGGGCTGTGTATTGGTAGTTTAAGAAAAGGGAAATAATGTGCAAGTGCGTCGCAATGCTGGGGCTGTCTATTGTGCTCCGTGGTGCTGGCTACAGAGGGCAAGTGCGGGCCAAGGCTGGGGCCGTGTAACTGTCTCATTGCTGGATTGGCTCCGACCTCAAGTGTGGTTCATTGTCTGGAATAGAGTCTGTTGTGCTGCAAATAATCTGGGTGGAACAGGGTCTGTTGTGCTGTAAAGGTGTTTTTTTTTTTTTTTTTTTGTACTCATCTGGGTGGAACAGGGTCTGTTGTGGTGCAAATCTACAACACAGACATTCACAAACGTGCATGCACACATACATACATGCACACATGTACAGACACACTGACACACACGCACACACACACACACACACACACACACATACGCGCACAAGCGCTTGCACACGTACATACATGCACAAAGATGAAGTGTGGGCGTGCACACATACATGCATGCACACAGACAGGCACACGAACACGTGCACACATACATGCATGCACACAAACAGGCACACGAACACGTGCACACA